CTCAGGCAGTCCACCGACCTCGGCCTCACAAAGTGCTAGGATTACAGGAGTGAGCACAAATTGTTTTCGAAGTGGTTGTACCAATTTGCACTCTCACCAGCAGTTGTCCTTTAGCCTTGACAACACTTGGTATTGTTTTTTAATTTTTGCCATTCTGGTGAGTGTGAAAAGTGGTGTTTTTATTTTTTTAATGAGAGATTGGGTCTTGCCACATTGCCCAGGCTGGTCTTGAACTCCTGGGCTCAAATGATCCTCCCACCTTGGTCTCCCAAAGTGCTGGGATTATAGGTATGAGTTATCATGTCTCATCTTGTTTTTTATTGTGGTAAAAAACATAAAATTTACCATCTTACCTGTCTTTAAGTGTATATATAGTTCAGTAGTGTTACATATATTCATATTGTTGTGAAACAGATCTCCAAGTTTTTTATCTTGCAAAACTGAAACTCTGTACCCATTAAACAAAACTCCCCTTCTTCCATCTTCCTTCCCCCAGCCTCTAGTAACAACCACTCTACTGTTTCTTTGAATTTGACTTTATTTTTATAATTTTTTTTGAGACAGAGTCTTGCTCTGCTGCCCAGGCTGGAGTGCAGTGGTGTTACCTTGGCTCACTGCAATCTCCGCTTCCCAGGTTCAAGGAATTCTTGTGCCTCAGCCACCTGAGTAGCTGTGATTACAGGCATGCACCACCATGCTGGGCTAATTTTTGTATTTTTAGTAGAGATGGGGTTTCGCCATGTTGGCCAGGTTGCTCTCAAACTCCTGACCTTCAGTGATCCGCCTGCCTCACCCTCCCAAAGTGCTGGGATTACAGGTGTGAACCACCATGGCCTGTCCCTGAATTTGACTTCAGACTCCTCAGATAAGTGGAATCATACACTGTGTCTTTACTTAACATAAAGTCCTCAAAGGTCATCCATGTTGTAGTACATGACAGCATTTTCTTCCATTATAAGGCTGAATAATATTCCATTGTATGAACTCACCACATTTTTTTCGTCAATGGACATGTGGGTTGCTGCTATGAACATGAGTCTGCAAATCTCAAGACCCTGCTTTCCATTTTTTTTTTTGGACATATACCAGAAGCAGGAGTTCTGAGTAGTTCTAGTTTTAATTTTTTGTCATATGGTAGTTCTATTTTTAATTGTTTAAGAGGAACATCTTAGGCTGGGCGCCGTGGCTCACGCCTGTAATCCCAGCGCTTTGGGAGGCCGAGGCAGGTGGATCACGAGGTCAAGAGATTGAGACCATCCTGGTCAAAATGGTGAAACCCCGTCTCTACTAAAAATACAAAACATTAGCTGGGCATGGTGGCGCGTGCCTGGAGTCCTGGCTACTCGGGAGGCTGAGGCAGGAGAATTGCCTGAACCCAGGAGGCGGAGGTTGCGGTGAGCCAAGATCGCGCCATTGCACTCCAGCCTGGGTAACAAGAGCGAAACTCCAACTCAAAAAAAAAAAAAAAGAGGAACATCTTTATATTGTTTTCTATAGTAGTTTTACCATTTTATAATCCCAGCAGCGGTACACAAGAGTTCTAATTTCTTTCTTTTTTTTGAGACAGCGTTTCACTCTTGTTGCCCGGGCTGGAGTGCAAGGGCATGATCTCCACCTCCTGCAACCTCCACCTCCTGGGTTCAAGTGATTCTCCTACCTCAGCCTCCCAGGTAGCTGGGATTACAGGCATAAATAAAAATATAAAATAAAATAAATAAAAATAAATTTAAAAAAATAACCTCTCTCTCCTGGGTTCAAGGCTAATTTTTGTATTTCCAGCAGAGGCGGGGTTTCACTGTGTTAGCCAGGCTGGTCTCGAGCTCCTGACCTCAGGTGATCCACCCTCCTTGGCCTCCCAAAGTGCTGGGATTACAGGCATGAGCCACCACACCTGGCCAAGAGTTCTAATATCAAAGTGGTGTATTTTTGTCTTGCATTTATGAATGATGTTGAGTGCTTATTCATTTAGATCATTAGTTTAGATCTGCATTTTAATAAGGTAACTGTTCTGGTCTTGTCAGTTTTTCAAATGGCTTGTCTGGAAAAGTTCTTTATGTATTATAGATACAGGGTCTTTATTGGTTATATATATACATATATATATATATATATATTTTTTTTTTTTTTTTTTTTGAGACGGAGCTTCGCTCTTGTTACCCAGGCTGGAGTGCAATGGCGCGATCTCGGCTCACCGCAACCTCCGCCTCCTGGGTTCAGGCAATTCTCCTGCCTCAGCCTCCTGAGTAGCTGGGATTACAGGCACGTGCCACCATGCCCAGCTAATTTTTTGTATTTTTAGTAGAGACGGGGTTTCATCATGCTGACCAGGATGGTCTCGATCTCTTGACCTCGTGATCCACCCGCCTCGGCCTCCCAAAGTGCTGGGATTACAGGCTTGAGCCACCGCGCCCGGCCTTTTTTTTTTTTTTAAAGGGTTTCACCATGTTGGTCAGGCTGGTCTTGAACTCCTGATCTCAGGTGATCCGCCCATCTTGGCCTCCAAAGTGCTTGGATTACAGGTGTGAGCCACCTCACCTGGCCTATTGGTTATATTTGTTGCAAATATCTTCTACTGTATGGCTTCCTGTTAATTTCTTAATGGTGTCATTTAGCAAGTTTATATTTTCTAACAGTTCAATTTATCAATCTTTCCATTATGGTTAGTATGTATATGTGCATTTCTTGTCTGCATACTCTTAGAGCATGAAAATACATTTACTTTCTTTTTTCTTTCTTTCTTTTTTTTTTTTTTTAAAAGATGGGGTTTCACCAAGTTGGCCAGGCTGGTCTTGAACTCCTGACCTCAGGTGATCCACCCACCTCGGCCTCCCAAAGTGCTAGGATTACAGGCATGAGCCACTGCACCCAGCCCATTTACTTTCTAGAATAATTGTTCTCTTACCTTTTATTTATTAATTTTTTTAGAGACGGAGTTTTGCTCTTGTTGCCCAGGCTGGAGTGCAAGTGGTGCAATCTTGGCTCACTGCAACCTCTGCCTCCCAGGTTCAAGCGATTCTCCTGCCTCAGCCTCCTGAGTAGCTGGCAATATGTGCCACCATGCCCGACTAATTTTGTATTTTTAGTAGAGACAGGGTTTCTCCATGTTGGTTGGGCTGGTCTCAAACTCCCAACCTCAGGTGATCTGCCCGCCTCGGCCTGCCAAAGTGCTGGGATTACAGGTGTGAGCCACCGCGCCTGGCCTCTCTTACCTTTTATACTTAAATCTACAGTCCATTTGAAATAGATCTTTGTATATGATTATGAGTGCAAGGTGAAATTCCATTTTTTTTCACATGAATATCCAAGTGATCCAGTATCATTTATTGAAAAGACCAACTTTTCAGTTCCATCTTCATCATAAAGGAAGTGTCCACACATGTACGGGTCTGTTATTGGAGTCTTCAGGACACAGGTCCTGTTGACTTATGTCTATAATTGTGTCCAAACTGCATCGTTGTAACTACTATAGCTTTATAGGCAGTCTTTTTTTCTTGTTGTTGTTTTTAGAGACAGGATCTCACTATGTAGCCCAGGCTGGCCTCAAACGATCCTCCCACTTCAGCCTCCTAAGTAGCTAGGACTACAGGCATGTGATACCATGCGCAGCTTAAAAATCTTGATATTCATAGCAAGCCTTCCCACTTCAAGATTGTCTTGACAGTCTCTCACCTTGATATTTTGCATTTCCCTATAAAAATGTGTGTTTCTACAAAAACACTGTAGATGTTCTGGCTTGGAATGCATGAAATCTGTACATCAGTTTGGGAAGAAGTAACATTTTTACAACATTGAGTTTTCCAATCAGCAAATATACAACTTCTGTCCATTCATTTAGGTATGGAATCCCTGATCTTTTGATTTTTAAGTCCTTTCTGGGTTTTATCCCCTCCCTTGCTCTCTTCTCCACGACCTAATACAAGGATCAGGGCCCCTTCCTCCTCACCTGACTTAGGGTCACCAGGTTTTCCATTGGCCATGGGGGGAGGGCCCAGAAGGCTGGGTGGTCCTAAGAGCAGACATGAAAATATGGTCATCAAAATGGATTAAGGGACTGATGATTCTGTTCTTAGGTGTTTTTCTTGTATTACTCATTTCTTAATTCAACTAGTAAAGTCAGGTATATTTTCAGCAGTCTTAGGAGTTCTCGCCCCATCTACCTGCGCTTTTTTCTGCAAAGCTGTTTCAGGGTTTGCAAAAAGTAGATATTCAATCAAAGGGGATAATGCAGGAAAAGATAAAACTTTTTCTTTTCCTCACCGTACCGTCGCTATCCAAAACAACCCAAGTGTCTCCAGACATAAACCAATCCCTCAACTGCTGGCCAGTCAATTCTCTTCTCCTTCCCCTTGGCCAGAGGACTAGTTCAGAGAAACCTGCACCTGCACCTTTTCAGTCAGTCTGGATACAAGCTGTCTTCCCAGTCATCACAATCTGCAACATCTCTACTGCCCCTTTCCCCTACTGTTCTGCGACTGCGCAAAAGAGCTCTTTATTCTCGCCACCCCCGCCTTCTCCAGAAAGGTTTGGGGCCAGTTTGAGGTTGATGGTTCCAGTAAGAGAACTCCTCGTTGAAGGCTCCATTTGGGACAGCCCCTTTCCATTCCTCCCCAGCGCGTGCGCCCTTCCTCCTTCCGTTACAGCCCCCTCCTTTGCACCTTAGCAGCCCCTAGCCCCTCGCCCAGACGGGCTGACAGGCATGTGCACATCCCTCCCCGACCCCTCACCGATGGGACTCCCATCCTCCTCATCTCCAGTCTCTTCCCGCTCGGGCAGTGGGGGCTGCTGCTGTGGTGGTGGCTGGTGCTGATTCTGCTTCTTTCGTTTCGGCATCGTGGCTGCGGCAATGGCTGCAGCGGGATTTGGAGGGCAGTGAGGAAGGGGCACATGGGGATTCTGTTTCCGCTTCCGGGGGGGCGGTGGGCAGCGAGGATGAGGCTCCCGCTATTCCACTTCCGGAAGGTTGCGGGGAACATCTGCAGCGCCCGCGTTCTGTAGTAAACTGCCTCCGTCCGTCTCTGCCAGGCATGGTGGCAACCTCACACCTTCCCTTTGCTGCATTTCTGTAACTGCTTTGAAAAAAATTCCTCTCTTCTTCCCTCGTTGGAAACCACCACAACCAGCTCCTCAGAGTGTGCCACAGAGTCAAGAGGCTCTCGGGCCAGAAGGCCTGAGAAGAGGACTGTCGCACCGTAAGATCGCCACATCCGGTCCCTGGTTACTATGGTAACAGCTGCAGGCACAACTTCGTGCCCTCTGACCTCCCTCCAAAGTCCTTGTCCCGCTTGGGTTTCCCTTCTCGTCCCCTTTTGCACTTATCTGTAAACCTGCTCCTTATCATCGTTCTCACAAGGAATTTGGGTCCCAGCAGGTCGGCACCCAGGACTCTTCAGACCGCCGCCCTCCCCTAAAGACCTCTGACCGTGCCCCCGGTGTAGCCCAGCAACCTGGCTTCCTATCCGGGACGCACAGTCTCGATTTTCCACGAAGGTCAAGCCCGAGGGTTGGATTTGTAGTCTCAGCGAGTCCACGCCCCGTCTCCCCTAGGTAGTAGGCCCCGCCCTCCACTCCACCGGCCCCTCCAGGTGAGTGGTAGCTTCTCCCGGGAGCGCAAGGTAGTGATGACACGCGTCCCCCCTTCTCCGAACGCGAGTTGGTAGCGTCCGTGACGGAGTTAGCCCGGTCCTCCCACGCGCGCCTCCTCCTTCGCCGCCGGGGCGCCCTGTCGGTGCCACTGGCTCTCACGTGCCAGTAGCCCACCCCGCATCATCCTCTCCCCTAGCTCCTGGAGGGAAGTGACTGTATATCTCCCTCGTTCGCCTTCCATCGCGGCCGCCGCGGCAATTCGGTCGGGCCCGCCCGCTGACGTCACCTGCTAGCTCCGCCTCCTCTAGGGTCCCGGGCCCCTGCGGCGGGGGCTGCCCCGGGGGGCAGTCAGTTGAGGCGGCGGGAGCTCGGCGGAGGGCGGGCCAGGTGACTGGTCCGGGCCATGCCGAGGAAGAAGCCCTTCAGCGTGAAGCAGAAGAAGAAGCAGTTGCAGGACAAGCGGGAGCGGAAGAGAGGTCAGTGCGGGAGCGGGAGGAGGGGGCGGGGCTCAGGCTCCCGCACATCTGGAAGGAGGGGTGTGCTCACTGCACCTCTCGGGGGCGTGGGAGGGGATCGTGGGAGACCGCCGACCCTCAAGGCCTTTCGTGGAGGAGATTCCCCACCCCACCCCCCCTACATCTGGAAGGGGTGGGGAAAGATGGAGAATTGGGGGAGGGGAATCCCTTCAGCTCGCACAGGGCACGGTCCGCACTGCTCCCTGGAGGAGTGACTCCCCCCCCCACGCACATCCAGGAGGGTCCCGAATAGGGTGGCTGGGAGGACGGAGCCTCCAAAGAAGTTGAGTGGGATGGAGAGTCAGGCCGATGGGGGAGAGGGTCTTACGGCGCGTGAGAGCTGGCCAGTCCTGGCGTCACCGGCCCCTCCCCGCAGGGCTTCAAGATGGGCTACGCTCCAGTTCCAACAGCCGCAGCGGGAGCCGGGAGCGGCGGGAGGAACAGACCGACACCTCGGACGGGGAGTCTGTGACCCATCATATCCGCAGGCTTAACCAGCAGCCTTCTCAGGGGCTGGGTCCGCGAGGCTACGACCCAAATCGGTGAGGATGGGAGGGGGCACTGGTTACCACTTTCCCGCCTACCCGGAAGTCAGAGCTTTGGGGGAAAGCGGGCTGCTACTGGTGAAGACGGTGGGCCTAGGATGCCGCAGTTCTCCGCTGGCCACTCGGCTCCCCAGAGCAGGCCACAATCTTCCTTTCCAGAGAGGCTGGAGAGAATTTGTCTTTTAAAAGGAGGAGGCTGAATATTGCCTAAAAGAGGAACTTGGGGGAAGGCTGACTTGAGACAGGAGGCTTCAACAACTCTGGAGAGAATGCTTGGCGAAGTTGATTGTCCAAGAGGGGAGAAAATGGGAGTTTGTGGCCACAGGATTGCGCTGGATGTTTCGGTCCCTGTTCCCTTAGATACCGACTGCATTTTGAAAGAGACAGCAGGGAGGAGGTAGAAAGGAGAAAGAGAGCAGCCCGTGAGCAAGTTTTACAGCCGGTCAGCGCTGAAGTGTTGGAGCTGGACATCCGGGAGGTCTATCAGCCTGGCTCAGGTGAGTGAGAGCAAGACAGGCATGGGCTGGGAAGGAGTTTGGAAAGGTAAGAGCCGACTGTGAGGAAGGAGGGGTCTGGGATGTACTCTTGAATACTGAAAATTTCCTCACACTTGGACTTCTTCCTGATTTCCCAGTTCTGGACTTTCCTCGACGTCCTCCTTGGAGTTATGAGATGTCCAAGGAGCAACTAATGAGCCAAGAGGAACGGAGCTTCCAAGAGTATCTTGGGAAGATTCATGGGGCTTACTCCTCTGAGAAACTCAGCTACTTTGAGCACAATCTGGAGGTGACTTAGAGTAGGGACAGGAGTGGGCCATAGTGACCCATGGTCAAATTGGTTTGGGGTCAGGCAGAGAGAGACTCTGTGTTGAGGTTCTCTTCTGGATCTTGTTTTCTTAGACATGGAGGCAGCTGTGGCGGGTGTTAGAGATGTCTGACATTGTCCTGCTTATCACTGATATCCGACATCCAGTGAGTACAGCGATAAGGGCGGGCATGGGGGAGGAGGGAGAAAGGGTTTTGGGGAGAAAAGGTCAGAGGCAAGAGTTGAAAGACAGGTATCCATCTTCCTGTCTTTCTAACCTCTACCTAGTGCTGATGTCTGCAGTTAGGAACTCAGTTTTTTATTCTCTCTTATCATCGCCTGTCACTCCTCCTTTGGCCAGTTCACTCTCTCTTCAAAACACCATGTCCTGTCTTTTAGCCCACAACAATTAGACGAACAGAAAATCCAAGTGTGGAGCTCAAGGGATTCTATGAATGCAGTTGGGGGCTTCCTCTTGCCCAGCCCAAAGATGCCCTTTCTTCCTTATCTCATTTCTTTAGCACAGCCGCATCAGTTGCTACTGAAGCTACCTGGAATGCTAGAGTAGTAGTAAGGCTGTAGACTGCTGCTGGACTGCCCTGTGTGAATCCTGGCTCCGCCACTTCACTCTTGTCCTCTAGTGGGAGAAAGAGAGGTCTGTGAGGACGTTTAGGTTGGAGCTCCTTAATGATATGTACACACATACTCACAAACACATATATGTGTTCATGTGCACATCAATATACACGGGCATGTTTGCACACATGTTCACAGTCACATTCTTAACACACAGACATGCACACATGGGCACGTACTTGCATGCATGCATATGTACACACTTACATAGTTGTATGCACACAAAAACAGACTAATTTCTACCCTAACCCCCATCCCTATTTCCGATCCCAGCCTTTACCTCAGTGTGCTAAGGGATGCTGTTTCCTTGTCTTGTTTTGGGTTTATTTCCATCTCTAATCATGACGTATAGGAAGCCTCCTGAGACTCAGAAGTATTACTAACCCCTGTTTTGTCTTCCTTGTTCAGTTTGGGTAGTTTATAGTTTTCAGCCCAGTATCTGCTACTGCCAGAGTCTTGTCTCTGAGCTATGCCTGCTGAGTGGGCAGCTGGAGGCAGAGAACTCTGGGTTGACCTCTCATCGCTCCATTCTCTTACCAACCCTGTCCTAGGTTGTGAATTTCCCGCCAGCACTTTATGAGTACGTGACTGGAGAACTTGGGTTGGCCCTCGTGCTGGTTTTGAACAAGGTGGATCTGGCCCCGCCAGCTCTTGTGGTTGCCTGGAAGCACTATTTCCACCAACACTATCCCCAGCTCCATGTTGTCCTTTTCACCTCTTTCCCTCGGGACCCCCGCACTCCACAGGACCCTAGTAGTGGTGAGTGGGCAATGAGGAGGGCAGCTAGGGAGAGGTGAGTTGGCAGGGGACAAACGGGAGAGCAGAGAGGCATGTTGACAAGGGGGCACCTGGTCTTGGGCCTAAGGGTGGTGGGAGAGATGAGAGACCTAAGCCTGTGTGCCAATCCTTTTGTACACTCTGATCTCAGTCTTGAAGAAGAGTCGGAGGCGGGGGAGAGGATGGACTCGGGCCCTGGGGCCAGAGCAGTTGCTGAGAGCCTGTGAAGCCATCACTGTGGGGAAAGGTATGTGGCCCTTAGAGGAGGGCTGTTGGGGACCGTGTGTGAGACCCAAGACGCTGAATCATTTTGCTCACCTTTCCACCTCTATGGTGGATGTGTGCGAGAGGCCAGGGAAAGGGAAAGAATAAGGAGCAGATTGACTTGGTGGGATGAGAGGCAGCAGGTAGTTGGGAGCCTCAGTGGCTTGCTGCCTTCAGCCTTCCCAGTACTTTTCAGAAACTCAGACACAGATATGTGCATGATTTCAGGGAGGGAGGGGTCAAGTGACTGCTGGGAGAGTTCTCTGGCCTACTTTTGTTGAGGTTGGCACTGTACAACTCCAGAGGGTGCCATCTTACATCATCTGTGCAGGGCACAGTATGTGCCATCGTACACAGCAGCCCTGGGGAGAACCTCCTTCATCTTCTCTTTCTTTGAGCAGTGGACTTGAGCAGCTGGCGGGAGAAGATTGCTCGGGATGTGGCTGGGGCCACCTGGGGTAATGGCTCTGGGGAGGAGGAGGAAGAAGAGGATGGGCCAGCAGTCCTGGTGGAGCAGCAGACTGATTCAGCGATGGAGCCAACTGGCCCAACCCGGGAGCGCTACAAGGATGGGGTGGTGACCATCGGTTGTGTGGGTAAGGAAGTGGCAGCTCATGCATGGTGGCCTCCAAGGAGGAACAGAGTTTTCATATTTGGAAAAGAGGGAGGGTGATCAGGTCTCATTAGGCCCCATGGTGTCTGAGGGGTGATCTCTGCCAGTGGTCACGGGCAAGGCAGAAGAGGCATCTGCTGTAGTGGAAAGATCATGACAGCCTGAGTTAAATTCCACCTCTTCTCAGCTGTGAGGTCTTGAGCAAGTGATTTTGCTACTCTTGAGTCTTAGTTATTTTGATTTTTAAAATGAAGGCATTGATACCTGATTAAAAGAATGGATCAGGGCCATGGATGAGGGCTCATGCCTGTAGTCCCAGTGCTTTGGGAGGCTGAGATGGGAGGATAGCTTGAGACCAGGAGCTCAAGACTAGACTGGGCAACATAGTAAAATCCCATCTTTACAAAAGATTAAAAAAAAAAGGCCGGGCGCGGTGGCTCAAGCCTGTAATCCCAGCACTTTGGGAGGCCGAGGTGGGTGGATCACGAGGTCAAGAGATCGAGACCATCCTGGTCAACATGGTGAAACCCCGTCTCTACTAAAAATACAAAAAATTAGCTGGGCATGGTGGCGCGTGCCTGTAATCCCAGCTACTCAGGAGGCTGAGGCAGGAGAATTGCCTGAACCCAGGAGGCGGAGGTTGCGGTGAGCCGAGATCGCGCCATTGCACTCCAGCCTGGGTAACAAGAGTGAAACTCCGTCTCAAAAAAAAAAAAAAAAAAAAAAAAAAAAAAAAAAAAAAAAAAAAAAAAAAAAAAAAAAAAAAAAAAAAAGTGAGGTGATGTGTGCCTATAGTCCCAACTACTTCGGAGGCTGAGGCAGGAGGATCACTTGAGCCCAGGAGTTCAAGATTGCAGTGAACTATGATTGTGCCACTGTACTCCAGCCTGGCTGACAGAGTGAGACCCTGTCTTTTAAACAACAACAAAAAAAGAATGGTTGTGAAGAATGACAGGGATAGTATTGAGAGAGCCTAAGAATGCCTCACAAATAGTGGTAACAATAATAACAATTATTATTGTTAAAACTTAATATCTATATAGTGCTTACTATGTACCAGGCACTGTTTTAAGTGGTTTATATATATCAACTGTTTGAATTGTAGTAATTAGTCTGTAGCACAGTGATCATCAAATCATAGTAGGAGCTCAGCAAGTATTAGTTTCCTTCTAGGTTTTAACCCTTTTAAGTTTGTTGTCAAGGAGAATCTCTCCTTAATTAAGGGCTTTATTCCAACTCACAGTGGAGGAAAAAAGGAATGTATGATTAGGACCCAAGGCCTGTTTTCATTTTGGGTAGGAGAGGTAAGAAGAGACCTTGGCCAGGTTGTGGTATCTGAGGTGATACTGGAACCAAAAAGGGCCCAACCCAGAAGAAACTGGGGAATGTGGAGTACGTAGTTGGGCTCCTTGGAAGTGCCCTGACATATCTCTCAGTGTCCTTTTTGTCTTTGGAAAAACTTGCCTTACTGCTGAGTGATTGCTCCTTGTTCCAGTCATTTCACCCAGGCTGTCCCTTACCTGACTTCTGATCCTAGGCTCCCCCTCACAAGGAGCCTCTGTTCCCTCTCTTGGCAGCCTCTGCTCTAGCTGGTCTCTATTCCGCATGGTGTGAGAGGGAGTGTGTTTGCTGTGGCACAGGTACCCCCGAGTTTGTATTTCCCTCCAGCTCTCATTCATTTAGCCGTTCAACAAATATGTACTGAACACTTACCAGGTGTCAGATATTCTAGGAATGGGACATACTGCTGTGAAAATGGCAAAAAGGTCTATTTTTTTTTTTTTTTTTTTTTTTTGGGACGGAGTTTCGCTCTTGTTACCCAGGCTGGAGTGCAATGGCACGATCTCGGCTCACCGCAACCTCCGCCTCCCGGGTTCAGGCAATTCTCCTGCCTCAGCCTCCTGAGTAGCTGGGATTACAGGCATGCGCCACCATGCCCAGCTAATTTTTTGTATTTTTAGTAGAGACGGGGTTTCACCATGTTGACCAGGATGGTCTCGATCTCTTGACCTCGTGATCCACCCGCCTCGGCCTCCCAAAGTGCTGGGATTACAGGCGTGAGCCACCGCGCCCGGCATGGAGCTTATTTTTTTGTGAGTAAATAGATTTTGTGATCTGAAATCATGTAGGGGCAGTGAAGAAAATAAAGCAATGAAAGGGGATACAGAGTGGCTGAGGGGAGAGGTGATCAGGGAAAACCTCCTTGAGGAGAGAACTGGATAATGAGATGAAGTGAGCCATTCAGAGCTATGGGGAAAGGATTTTGAGGTGGGAATGAGCTTGGAGATTCTGGGACCAGCAAGAGTGCCCAGGGGATTGGAGTATGGGAGGCAGGATAGAGTATTGGGGATGAGGTCATCAAGATCGCCAGGGCCCGCATCATGTAGAGTCCTGAGGCTGTGATAGGCATTTTGGATTTTATTCCAAGTCTCATGAGAAGCCAAGGGTAGGTTTTGAAAAGGGGAATGACAGGATCTGATTTTCTTTCTTAGCAGTTTACCTGCTAAGTAGAGAATAAATGATGGGGAGTGGGCAAGAAAGGGAGCAGAGAGAGCAGTCCGAGGCTATTTCAGTAGTCTAGGGGAGAAATAAGAGTTGCTAAGAGTAGGGTGCTAGAGCTGGAGGTGGTGAGACAGGACCAGAAGTGTGATGTATTTTGAAGGTAGAGAAAATGAGATCACTGATGGCTTGCAGTTGGCACATGAAAGTGAGGATAAAGAAGGACTTCCAGGTTTTTTTGTCTTAAGCAACTGCAAATACTGAGATGGGAAGACTAGGGGAGAAGCAGGTTTGAAGGCTTGGGGGAGGCGAAGGGAATCAGAAATTAAATTTTCAATTCTTTTTAAATATTCCTAGTGGAGATGTCAAATAGGCGGTGGGCAAGTAGTCAGAAGATTAGGGGAAAGAGGAGGACTGGAAATTTGAATTTGGGAAAGATTTAGATTTGGGGAGCCATTGATGGATATAAGTGATATTTAAAGCTATGGGATTAGGCTAAGTGCAGTGGCTTATGCCTATAATCCCAGCCCTTTGGAAAGCCAAGGCAGGTGGATCACTTGAGGCCAGGAGTTCGAGACCAGCCTGGCCAACATGGTGAAACTGTCTCTTCCAAAACAAAAAATTAGCTGGGCGTGGTGGTGCATGTCTGTAGTCCCAGCTACTTGGGAGGCTGAGGCACAAGAATTGCTTGAACCTGGGAGGCGGAGGTTACAGTGAGCTGAGATTGTGCCTCTGCATTCCAGCCTGGGTGACAGAGTGAGACTTCGTCTAAAAAAAAAAAAAAAAGGCCGTGGGATTGGATGAGATGTAGGAGAGAAAGGAAACAGGTAGAGAAGAGGAGGTCAAGGACCGAGCTTCAGGACAAGCTGCATTTAGCTGGGCAAAGGAGAGTGAGAAGGAGGAAAACCAAGGGAGTGTCCCAGAAGTCAAATGAAGAAGGTGTTTGAAGAGGAAAGGAGGGATCAGCTGTGTCAGCTGTTGCCTACAGACCAAGTAAGAGAACAGAGACCTGCTCAGCGGGCTTGGTAATGTGAAGAGCAGTGGTTTCAGTGGGGTGGAGAAAGCCAAATTGGAGTAGGCCCATGAGAGGAGGTGCAACAACCTCATATAATGTTGTGTGAAAGGAGCCTGACACAATTGGATACATACTGCACAATTTCAGTCGTATAAAGTTTGAAAGCTGCAAAATTAAGCTGCATTGTTGAGAGATACACGGGTCATAAACTAAAGAGAAATATAAGAAGTGGATTCCCTTAAAAGGATAAAGTTCACATGTGTGGAGGGAGAGGATTATAATCAAGAAGGATGAACGGAGGTCGGGTGTGGTGGCTCATGCATGTAATCCCAGTACTTTGGGAGGCTGAGGCAGGTGCATTGCTTGAGGTCAGGAGTTTGACACCAGCCTGACCAACATGGCAAAACCTCACCTTTACAAAAAAATACAAAAAATTAGCTGGGCGTGGAGTTGCATGCCTGTGGTCCCTGCTACTCAGGAGTCTGAGGCACCAGAATCACTTGAACCTGGGAGGCTGCAGTTGGAGTGAGCTGACATTGCACCACTGGACTCCAGCCTGGGTGAGGGAGTGAGACTCTGTCTCAAAAAAACAAAAACAAAAACAAGGACAAATGGAATATGTTGTCACACATTGGTTGGTATGGGGTTCATTAGGCTGCATAGGTATGTTCTTTGCATTTTTGTATGCGTTACAATTAACAGTTACAAAGACAATAGTATGAAGAAGTAGTGAAAAAAAGTAGATGAGTCTTTTAAGGAGTTTTCTTGCAAAGTGGACAGAGAAATGGGTCTGGTGATTGTTGTTAAAGGAGAACTGTTTTCTCCCTCATTCCCTCCCTTCTTCCTAGATACTTCCATGTGTTGTAAAGGGGTGCAGTCAGTACAGTGGTACATCTTTTCTCAGCCACAGTCAGTCGCCCAGGAGCAGGTGCTCAGTGGACAGAGTTGAATTTTACAGGGTTGGGATTTTGCCAGGTGGGTAAGATAGAGGGGAGAGGTGGGATTAGGGAGTTCCAGGTCTGTGAATGGGCCTGGCTATGGACCTGGATCATGAAATCTGAGTCAGTTAAGAAGAAAATTGAGGACATTAGTTGGGTATTGCATAGTGTTTCTCTGCTAAGGTCAGGGGTCAAAGACTTACTGGGATGGAGGAACCAGAATAAGTTTGCTGGAAAGATGGGTTGTCAGGGCAGAGAGGGGTGCTTGATGTTGAGGCTTTGGAGCTGTGAAGTGACAGGATGCAGGTGTTACCATGGGAGTGGGCAGCTGTGGTGGGGTGAAGGAGATGCTCTGTGGAAGTGAGATGAAGGCACTGAAGTCAGCCAGAAGGAAGATGGTGGTGGTTGTGAGCAGAGTGGCATTGAGCCCCAAGGCCTTCAGTCTCCTTGGACAAGTCATAATAAGTTTTTTTTTTTTTTTTGAGACTTCCACCCTTGTTGCCCAGGCTGGAGTATAATGGTATGATTTTGGCTCATCACAACCTCCACTTCCCAGGTTCAAGCAGTTCTCCTGCCTCAGCCTCTTGAGTAGCTGGGATTACAGGCACCTGCCACCACGCCCAGCTAATTTTTGTATTTTTAGTAGAGATGAGGTTTCACTGTGTTGACCAGGCTGGTCTCGAACTCCTGACCTTGTGATCCGCCTGCCTCAGCCTCCCAAAGTGCTGGGATTACAGACATGAGCCACCACGCTCGGCCTGATAATAATAATTATGATTTTTGAGATGGCATTTTGCTCTTGTTGCCCAGGCTGGAGTGCAATGGCATGATCCCGGCTCACTACAGGCTCTGCCTCCTGGGTTCAAGTGATTCTCCTGCCTCAGCCTCTCAGGTAGCTGCAATTACAGACGCCTGCCACCACGCCCAGCTAATTTTTGTATTTTTAGTAGAGATGGGGTTTCACCTTGTTGCCCAGGCTGGTCTTGAACTCCTGACCTCAGGTAATCCACCCACCTCAGCCTCCCAAAGTGCTGAGCTTACAGGCGTAAGCCACTGTGCCCAGCCAAGTCATAATTATTATTATGAGATGTGGCTCACTGGTACTGGGTACTACTGTACTGCAGGCACTGACCCACGCAAGTTTTATTGGTTATCTCATTTAATCCTGACCGCCCTGAAGTAGGAGGCGCACACACTGTAAAATGAAGAACCAGAGGCTCAGAAAGTTAATTGCCTTGATATCACAACTAGTAAGTGAAGGGGCCAAGATTTAACCCTAGCAGCTCAGAGCGTGATTTGTATTCTGCAATACCATTTCCTTAATTTCTGAGCCTTAGTTCCCCTTTTACCTATAGGTATAGCACCAATTCCCATCATAGAGAAAAGACCTGTTAAACATTAATTTTCCTTGCCTTCTTCAGGTTTCCCTAATGTGGGAAAGTCCTCGCTGATCAATGGGCTGGTGGGGCGGAAAGTTGTGAGTGTCTCCAGAACCCCAGGCCATACCCGATACTTTCAGACCTACTTTCTTACCCCATCCGTGAAGCTTTGTGACTGCCCGGGCCTCATCTTCCCATCTCTTCTGCCTAGGCAGTTGCAGGTATGACGGGGAGGGTGGGTAAGGGAAAGAGAAAAGGTGGGACATTGAGGAAGGTACTGAGTGTTCATTCCCCTCAGGTTCTGGCAGGGATCTACCCCATTGCCCAGATCCAAGAGCCCTATACCGCTGTGGGCTACCTGGCCTCCCGAATCCCCGTGCAGGCCCTGCTCCACCTGCGCCACCCAGAGGCTGAGGACCCCTCAATGGAACACCCCTGGTGTGCCTGGGACATCTGTGAAGGTGAGTTCCGTGTGCCTGGCTTCGCCCCACCTGGTTTCAGCTGCTCTTCCTTACCTGCCAACCTTCTGGCCTCGCCTTTTACCCTACCCTGTCTCCTTTCCTCTCCTCAGAGATTCTGCCATTGATGAAGCTGCTGTCCACTCACCCCTAGATTTTTGTTGCAAAGCCAGTAAGATCTCTGGCCTGGAATGTTTTGGGGAAAACTCGGAAGGACTGTGTTATGGGAGTGGGAGTTTGATAACCGGTACCTGGTTAATGCCTTCCCTTTCCATCATTCTTTCCTCCCTCCAGCCTGGGCAGAGAAACGTGGTTACAAGACAGCCAAGGCAGCTCGGAATGATGTGTACAGAGCAGCCAATAGTCTCTTGCGGCTGGCAGTGGATGGCCGCCTCAGCCTGTGTTTTCATCCCCCAGGCTACAGTGAACAGAAAGGTCAGAGCCCAGATATTCTTCCCCAGTCCCCTGCTATGGTATAGGTAAAAGGGTGTGGGCTTTGTGGCCAGAGAGAGAGAGACAGGGTCAAACCTGGATTCTGTACCTGTTGGCCAACTCTGTTACTTAACGTCTGAGATGATTTCCTGATCTACAAACTGAGGGTAATAATTGACCTATAATCAGCATGGTGATTATAAAGATTGAAATTGATGTGCACAAAGATTCTGTTCAGCAATCTGCACATAGGAAGTTGAATGCATGGATGAATGAATGAATGCAAGCAGCTATAAAGATTATTGTTATTCCTACTCTTTGCCTCTTCCCCATCTTTCTCTGGCTTTAGTTCTTTGCTCAAAACTCTCCTCCATTCTTTTCTTGTTTTGGTTCCCCAGGCACCTGGGAGTCCCATCCAGAGACCACGGAGCTGGTGGTTTTGCAGGGCAGGGTGGGGCCAGCAGGTGACGAGGAGGAGGAGGAAGAGGAAGAGCTGAGCAGCTCCTGTGAGGAGGAGGGAGAGGAGGACCGGGATGCGGATGAGGAGGGAGAAGGGGATGAGGACACCCCAACCTCAGCTCCAGGGTCCAGCCTGGCTGGCCGAAACCCTTATGCCCTGCTGGGTGAGGATGAGTGCTGAGTTCCTCACCCAGTGCCATCTTCCCACCCAATATCTTTGCTTTTGGACTGACCTGGGGGTAACTCCCCTCTGCTGCCCCAATTGTGAATAAAGATTGTTTGCTTTGTAGCCCCTTCCCCAGATGAACTGAGGTGAGAGCGCTGTTCCAGGCTAACAGCTGTGGGAGGCTTCTCTCCTCTTCTCCCTTCTTTTTTCATGCATTCTCTTTACAAGGGAAAGTTCTCTTAGGAGTTTATTTACTAGGTTCTCAGTCTCTGAAACCTGCTTCCTCTACCCACTCTCCCACTCTGCACCTTAGGAATCCCATTATCTACATGGGGAGGGGAGATCTAACTCCAGTTCTCTTTTGGAGTTTGTTCCATTCTCTGATTTGAGCAGCAGCCCCGTGTGCCCCCTGCTGCCAGACCTGGTCATTCCAGGAGCTTCTGTGAGAAGGAACATTAAGAGAGGAGGTGTCCCAAGCTGATGTCTCTAAGTGAGATTTTTACAGGAATTGTTCAAATTCAGCAAATATTTATTGAGGGTCTATTGTGTGTATTGACCTGTGCAAAACATCAAGCATATAAGGATGTACCACCAGAGCCTGACCTAAATTTGCAGCCTGGCCATGATCAAAACCCCATCTTCAGGCACCCAAGGTTTTTGATTAAGAAGGGTGAATGATGTTCTCCAAATCCTGGGGGTTTATGCAGTAGAATTCTAGGACTTTGTGTTAATATAAATTTTTAGTCAGGGCAAAACACTTGTGAATATGTTGATTAAATGTGTACGAGTAGAGTTTTAATTACTGGAGAACACTAGCGTGCACATTTATGATTTGATCAGAACAGACCTTTACGTACAGTGTTAAGTTTCATTATTTAAGAGCCTGGCAACTATGAGTATGTGAGGTACATAGAGGTGGGCACAGAACCAGCCTTCTGAATTCCATTTTCTCTGATTTGGGGGTGGAACAAAGATGACCCAGTGCAGGGTTTGAGCTAGAAGCTAGCTCAATGGCCAGAATCATTTTAGAATTTCATCTCAGCATTGTAGCAGAGATCAGTTCTCTCATGAATTGGGGCACCTTAGGCCTTGCTGTACATTCCTTTGTTAAGCCAGCAGCTTGACTCCTAGATTTAATTCTTTGAGAGATGGGAGAATGAGCTAGCTTTGTTTTACTGACTGCCAGTGTTGTCTGGGTTGGATGATAGCAAAAAGCGTAGTTTGATAGCTTGACCACTAGATGGAGGAGTGAGAAGTATCAGACTCCTCTTTGCTCTAAAGCATCCCTTTCAGGATCGGAGTCACTGGGCAGTTCTCTAACGCGGGCAGAGAGGTCCTGTTAACCAAGGAGCAAAGGAAAGTGTGTTTAAAGAAGCTTCGAAAAAAAAAAAAAAAAAAAAAAAAAAAAAGAGGCTGAGGTGTTTGCCCATATATTCCTTTAGGCTTATCTCCTTTGGTTCTGGTGAGGACATAAGCCCTGGAATTCACTCCAGTGCAAAGTTTAAATACTAGCAGCATGTGAATGTTTGAAGGTTTCCCAAAATGTGCTAGAAGAGAGAAGAGGTCCCAGCTGAGAGGAAAATCCACCTGTCTTCCTTCTGGGGCTCTTTAGCCTCACTGATAGAAAAGGAAAAGGGGCCCAAGCTAAGCTTACTTTGAGGGCTCATGATGTTCACAGATGCTCAGGGGACTTCTCTTCTGCAGGAGGTGGGGGGAGAACATTGGATTCATTTCCTTAAAATGTGGAGAGAAAGGAGAAAAGTCAGAATTCTGTTTGTACCTCTGTTTCTTGCACTGCTTCTCTTCGCTTGTTTTTATCTTTTTCCACCTGAAGAGTTTCATCGGGCATTTGGGAGAGTCTAGGGGTGGGGATGAAGAGTTAACTGGGAGCTGAGCTAGACAGGCAGCTGAGTAGGGGGGATTTTTATGCTGAAGACTTGGCAGGAGGCAACTCTGACATCCCCACTGGACTAGACTATAAAACCTCTTCCCAGGCCTCTTATCAGTCACTTGCTGACTCTATAGGGTAATAGCAACAGGAAAATAACTGAGGGGCCTGCAGATCAGGATGAATAGGGCCCCAACACCAGTGCCTGAGGCTGAGGTTAGAACTGACTGCAAAGACACAGGAAACCAAGGGCCCAGTCTCCCTTCCACGCTGAAATACCCCTCACACCCTCTTGTCTGGGTCACGTCTCTATTATGTGAACACTTGATCTTGGAGGTCTGGGGCTCTGGCACCTTCCATAGCTGATTAGTTTCTTGATGGAGAAAAACCAGAGATGCTCTCATCCGTGCTGGAATTTAATTTAGAAGTCAACTTCCAAGCTTCCCTTTTTCCAGACAGGATTCTTCTAGTCCTGGTTCTGGAACAAGGTAACTGTGTGGTCCAGGCTGGTTCAATTATCTGGGTCTTTGTTCATTTCTTATAATCATTGATGCAGTCAACAAAAATTGGTTGAAAACAGTATATACCATGGCCGGGCAGGTTGGCTTACGCCTGTAATCCCAGCACTTTGGGAGGCCCAGGTGGGCTGATCGCCTGAGGTCGGGAGTTCGAGACCAGCCTGGCCAGCATGGTGAAACCCCGTTTTTACTTAAAAAATTACAAATATTAACCGGGTTTGTTGGCACATTCCTGTAATCCCAGTTACTTGGGAAGCTGAGGCAGGAGAATTGCTTGAACCCGGGAGGCAGAGGCTGCAGTGAGCAGAGATTGTGCCATTGCACTCCAGCCTGGGCGCAACGGAGCAGGACTCCCTCTCAAACAAACAAACAATACATGCCAGACATATCTCCCTGAGTTCTGAGACAATAACCAAAATTTAATAAGGCAAGATCTTACCCTCAAGGAATAGAGGGTAGGAATAGAATAATATAATAGTTCTATAGCAGTGTGTAAGCTATAAAAGCATTTTATGTATATCTATTCAACTGTCAAAACTAAATAAGGTGGTTAGTAGGATAATTATCCCAACGATTCATTCACTCATAGAACATTTGTTGAGCTATTACTATCTGCCATTACTTCCAAGTGGTAAGTGAGATAGAAATGGTTCTTTATGGAGCTCACAGTTTATTGGAGAATAGAAACAATTATAAAAATAAGTGTGATAAGTTCTGGGAGAAGGTTGGTACAGGATCCTGTGGGGTAGTGGTGGCTCCATATAGGAGGGATCTTGGGATATTGATCAGAGAGAAGTGGGGAACAGGGTTAGAAGCTGCATTAGTAAATTAAGTTATGTCAGACTGCCAAAAAAAAAAAATAGTAATAATAAGCAGTAGTCTATGGTAAAGAATTGCTACAGGAACAGCTAGTAGGTGCAGTTAAGCTGGTCTTGGTGAATCAGGGGAATCCTCCTAGAGGAACAGATGTCCATGCTGAGGCCTAAAGACTGGGCAGGAGGCCGGGCGCGGTGGCTCACGCCTGTAATCCGAGCACTTTGGGAGGCGGAGGTGGGTGGATCACCTGAGGTCGGGAGTTTGAGACCAGCCTGACCAACATGGAGAAACTCCATTTAAAAAAAAAAAAAAAAAAAAAAGACTGGGCAGGAGTTAGTCAGACAGAAAGGGGAATAGCATTCCAGGCAGAGGAGACAGCAGATGTCAAGGAACATGACAACTTTGGAAGATTGTAACTTGTTCAGGGGCAGAGGGTGCAAAGGAAAAATGAGGAAAAGTGAAGCTGGAGAGGTGGGCTTGGTCCAGCTCTTGCTGGGCTTTGTCAGCTGTGTTAAAGATTAGACTTTATCCAGAGGGACATTGAAGTTTAAGCCTAAGACTGAAAAGGTGAGAATTGTGCCTTAGAAAGATCACTATAGTTGCAGTGTGGAGACTGGTTTGGAAAGGGGAGAAATCAGAGGCTTTTGCAGCCATCGCAGGGAGAGAGAATGGACACCAGAATTAGAGTAATGGAAGATGGAAAGAAGAGAAATCGTTTTATGGGTTGCTTAGGAGTTAGAATTGGCATTCTATCTTGGGATTGTTTCGCTGTGTAGGGGAGAGGGATAAGTCAAGAGTATACATCCTGTTTCTCACTTGGCAACTGAGTGGGTCATGGGTCTGTTTCCTGAGACAGTTGTCTACAGCCATACCACCGTGAGCACCCTGGATCTCATCTGAGACAGTTTATGCAAATGGAGCTTGGGGAAAGAGAGGTCGTGGCTGGAGACAGAGATTTAGGCATCATCAACTTATAGGTGTGGGGAGCAGAGAAGGCTGAGGAAGAAAGCAGGAAACATAAAAAGGAGAGAAGGGAAAGGGGCCAGTGAGACAGGAAAAACCTAGTAACATGGTGTGATGAAGCTAGGGGAGGAAGGAAGGAAGGGCGGTGCGGCATGCTGCTGATGTAAGGTGGTGGCGTCGAGAATGAAGGCTATCCACCAGCAACGAGAGGGGCCTCCATGGTGTTGGTGGGAGCAGTTTCTTTGGAGAGGTAGAATCAGAGGCCCCAGCTGTCAGAGGGCTAAGGCATAATTTGGAGGAAAAGAGTAAAGGCAGTGGAGTCGAGGAGGGAATTTTCAAGTTGTTTGGCAGTGACTGCAATGAAAGAAAAAATGGAAGGAGTAGACTGTAGGCAATTGAGAAACTTTTTGAGTTTGGAGCCTGTTAACATGATGTTAGGAAGAAAGATCAAGTGGAGGGGAAGGGTGAGAATGCAGGAAGGTGGGGCTTAGCGACGGAACAAGCCTTGGGGACATGTAATGTAGTACTGAGAATCCCGGTGAGGGGAGTGCCCTCAGGCAGGCGCCAGTGGCGTCTGTCATTATAGGAGGGAACAGCGCTGACATTCAGCTGGCTCGCACTGGTACGGCTCAACCAGTTGTTAAAACACGTCTGTTCCAGTGTCAGTAGTATACGAGTAACTGCAAAAAGCAGTAAAAATTATGAATTCTAATACAAACTCAGTTCAAGCTAATTAAGAGATCGCAACAGCCATTGGTAAATGGACTTCTCGCGGCATTTGAGAAACTTTGCAACGCCATCTGCCGGTGCCGTCGCATCACTGCAGGCTGAGAGGCTGCTTTGCACCTTCATCATGAAGCACTCTTTGAAATTGCCTGTTTAAATTACCTTGGAATCATGGAGTTGCTACTGCTTCTGAATAGTTTAGCTTCTACTTT